AGAGACTTTCAAGTTTTGACAGTGCAGTTTTCCTGCGCACAAAAGATTATCACAGGGCAGCAGTGTCTTCTTTTACTTTTTTTGTGAAACATAAGGAACTGCCCATTTACTGGGAATAGTTTGGGTGATTTGTAGTTCCAAGTGTCTGAATGGTCAGGCTGACTAAAGTGTTATCGATGCATTTTCAGCAATTAAAAATACCAATATCATGACATCAACAAATCTGAAAAACATGAAAAAGCAAAACAGAAACCGAATGAGGCAATTAAACCATTGGTCTATATTCAGAGCACATAAATGTTATCAGTTCAATACATGCAACCTTTCAAATTTTAATATTCGCTGGTCTCACCCCGTATATTGTACTTATTGAGTGTCTATTTACCTATGGTGTGTGCTTTATAAGTTCCAGTTTACACTTAAGTTTTGGCATGTTATTCAACAACTACCACTTGCCTGTTAACCTCTGGTTCCTGGAGACCATGCCTACTAGAATGAGCTGTATGGTTTTCATGCAGACCACTGCAAAGGAATAGCAGAAATATTTCATAGCAGGAAGAGGACCCCAATGCAGATATTTATTGATCTAGACTACACAAAATGATCCAAGTTATAATAATGATAGAATTAGTTTGTACCAAACTAGTTTTTACCAAAAAAATAAATAAAATTGTGCAATAGTTTAAGATTAAAATTCCAACTCATAAACAAACAGAGTGCCATTTACCTGATAACCTCTGGCTCCTGTACATTGTGCCTGCTATGGTCAGGTGTCTCGGTGTCATGCAGCACACTGCAATATGGTAAATATTGTTGATGAGAGGGTGTAATGCATTTACAGTGCTACAGTCCAAAGGCAGTTGTCAAAGACTTACATTGCCATCTCAGACTGCACAACTTCTCCACCAGTTGAGTCCTCATTGGCTTCTGTAATCTAAAACACCAGAGTATTAAAATATAAAAGAAATGGAACAACAAATGACAAACAAGAACAGAGGACAACGCGACAACTGGCAGGGAAACACACAAGGCTTAAATACATACTGAGGTGATTAGGGAATGTGAAACAGGAGGAGAGCACAGCTGGGACTCATCAGACATGACGAGGCAAAACTCAACACATTGACATAGTACACAGACTTTCAAAGTAAAACAGGAAACTGAACAGACGTGGACTAACCTAGGGGATACGGTGACAGAACAAGAGACACACTGACAGAGACGACTGTATACTAACAGAACACAGAACCACGACCTAAGAAGGAGAACACAAGAAATGCCCAGGACCTAGGGAGTTAGGAATACTAGCGACAGAAATCAAACCCAAGAGAATCAAAACACATCATGAAATCAAAGCTAACTAATACAAACAGAAAAACACCGAGTCCACAGACTCAGGACCGTGACACTTTGGGTAGGTAGAACTTAGGATAACTGAGGGGGAAAAAAATAAAAAAAATAAAGGAAAGGTTAAGGACATTAACAAAAGACAATGAAAAAGCCAGAACCCAGGAAACTAAGATTACAAGAACAAAATGACCCTAACCCTAAAATACTGTTAGACCACAGTTGAAGCTTGCTCTACTGCATTTCTGTTATTAACAGTGAATCAATTGGCGGGGCATTATTTAAGCATAGCCATCTGGCATAGTGATCAGATGAATGTCTCAAATCCTTTGGGGAAAATCACAGCATTTATTATTCTGAGCAGTAACATGTTAAAGATGTCTTATACAATACTAGGGTGACTGGAGCGCCACTGAGTTACAGTAATAGTGACAATTATGCCATATCAGCCACCCGAGTGGAACATTTGAATACCTTTGGACGGATATAAAGATTGGAGCGACCCAGTAGGTTTCTTGCTCTAATTTCTTGGGGCGTCTCCTCTTCAAGAGGAAGAATGAGCCGCTGTCCATTCACTTTGCATAGATCGAACTGCAAGGGTATGTCTGCAATATTGTCCCGTAGTGCCTGCCTGAATTCAGCTGCATTTAGGTTTACAGGAACGACCACCCGAGTAGCAGGAGTGGCATCTGTAATCAAATTTAAACCAAATTAGCTTTCCCTAAAAACGGAAAAGGGTAAATTGTCACATTGTAGTGTCTCAACATCAATTCTCTGTTACTTATGCTTCATGAACATGTGCTAGAACAGTATGAAACAAGCAGAACATTTGCATACTTTATTCTCCTCTCTCCTCCCTTTTTCTATGATTGACTATTTTACTATATGACTTCTAGAACTGTTATAAGTGTGTGTGCAGGTGAATCAGACTGATGTGTGGACCCAAAGTGATCCAAGGTACTCCTGATGAGCACTCCGTTCATACCACTGATTAAACACCATCTCAGTCTTCCAAAAAACCCCCCCAAAAAACGAAAAAACAAAACCAAAAGAACAGAACAACTTCTGATAAATTCAGGTGGATATGAAAATATATGTGGGTCCTCATAATCCTTATTAAAAACGCTCACCTCTGACTCTGCGCTTTGCTTTGATGCGATGCACTAAACTGTGTAGGCTGACAGAATTCTCATCACGTTTTTGTTTTGTTGACTGCAGTGCTGCTTCACTCAAAATAAAGTAGCTAATGGGTCATCAATGTAGTAGAAGTAAACAATCAAGTAACAGAAGTAAATACAGAGCCTTCTTCTTATACCTCAGGCTTTTCTTTTTCTTTTAAACCTTTACTAGCTAAAAATAACAGTTTATTATCAGAAAAGTCAGGCGTTCTGACCCAGAGACACCATGAGCTACACAGACTCAAACGAGTAGCAGGAGTGGCATCTGTAATCAAATTTAAACCAAATTAGCTTTCCCTAAAAACGGAAAAGGGTAAATTGTCACATTGTAGTGTCTCAACATCAACTTATTGGTGCAAGGAAATAAAGATTACAAAGGTGCTAAAAATCTAATGCCAAATTCTACAATTTGTAAACAACTGACACCATGATGTAATTCTCATTTTTCAAACCCATCACTCCAAATAATTAATATTAATATAAATATTGATTACCCCTATGAGATCGGTAGTGTGTCAGTGTGGGATTCCTTAGTACTGACACCTTAAACGTTAACTGGCGATGTCTGGTTCTCCCGCCTCTTGGTCTGCGCACTGGCCCACCTCCGTGCTGTTGGCGGAAAACTCCAAAGCTATCATTAGACCATGAGATAATTTTAGTGAAACTAATGACACAGAGACACCCCCCCCCCCCCAAGAAAAAAAAGAAAACAAAAAAAACCCACCCAACACACTCAGAGTAAGGAATGAGTGTTCAACACATCGGTGTTTATTGCATGCATTTTTCGATTGTCTCGCAAATTAAATGCTCCCTGAAAATATGGGATATGCTACATTTATAAACTAAAATCTTTATGCATAAATGCACATAACAGGGATTAAAATGACTGTCATTTGAAGTCGTCAATCTAGGATAGACATTTATGATTACAGAATTTGTTGTTGAATTGTAACAGATAATTAGTAAACGAGCCATTTATTATTTAAAAATGTAAAAGTTATTTCCTTTTGCAAAAACAAAAAAGGCGCAAAGCTAAAAGCTTGCCAATAGAGTAACCACCACCAAAGCATTTCACCTTTGTAGAAGAGATGTCCCCTCTTCACTGTCATCTTGATTCAGTAGCCGGTTAAATTGGGCATTCATTCTGTCTCTGATATCAGTGACTCTCCGTCGAAATGCAGCGCTCCGTTCGGACATGACTGTCCACAAAAAGTCCGCCAAAAGGCTGGGCAGATATATATATAGCATCCCTAAAATTCAAAGTACGGCGGGAGAAGGTACATTGTTTGTGATTGGATCAGCAAGACTGAAGGTTGTGTTTTTTTTAATCCACCCCTTACCACAACCTGTGATCAGAATTTGTGTTAACCAATCACAGTCAACCTCATGTTTGTGTTGTCTCAATCAAGCTATGTGCGACAAACTACATACAGATGAATGCATGCGAAATCTCTGCGCCAACAAAAAACACCGTAAGTACCCTAGTTAATCTCAATTATTGTTCGACTTTGCTAACTAAAAGCTAAGCGATGATTCAAAAACATTGCTTTGTCCTTTTAAGCACATGTTATATGTTAGCTTTGTATTGTAGTAAGCGAAAAAAAAAGTCATGCTGAGAACCTTCACAGACAAGTCATGCTAACCTTTGTCCGTTAGGAATGTTGCCAACATGCCATTTTAGGTGAGGCATGTTAATAAGGTCTTTAATATGGTACTCCGTTTAGCCACTTTATATTATTTAAAATACGGTTTTATATCACTTGTTACATTAGCCGGATTAGGCTACACGGTACTGCACTGCCATACCAGATAGCAAGACGACATTGAATTGATGTTGATTTTTTCTATAAAGTACCGGAGAAAGTAGATTGAATGTTCTTTTGTTATCACTGATTTATGGTCTAGTTACAGTTCACTAGCTATGTCGACGTGCAATTTAGGTATATCTGACCGGTAAATTAAAGCAGCGATCACCTGGACTGTTCCGTATCACCCCTCTCACAGTGGTACATCCCTCCAGGTAACCATTCACAAGTCTTGTACAGTAGAGCGGGAATTAATCTCAGCGGAATTGAGAGGAGAAAGTGGATGCAAGCTGCCGTTAAACTTGACTGAAGAAGAAGAGAGGAGAAAGTAAAGAAATGAATAAAGAACAGTCAGTATATGCAGAAAAAAATAATAAAGTTAAAAGACAGCATGGTCTTCATGAACCCAGGGTACAATACAAAAATGTCGTTTTATTTAAGTGAGCAAAACAATGTAGACCATGTTCATTTTGGTAATTAGTTGGGGGAAAAAAAACTAATGACAGCATAATAGATGAATAACATGGATGGGAACATTTGACAATGGAATTGGAACATTATCAAAAATGATTTTTCAGATATGCTGAGTAGAAGATGCGGAGATTCAAATTTTTAACTTGGGTGTGTGTTTGAAATATGAAAATATTGGTTGACATCGTTGACATACTGCTATTAAAGATAGGAATATGTATGAAACGTAGATTCAAAAGCTCTATTAACAGAACTATAACCTGTTAGAATGTGACATTTATTTCAGATGCATTCTGTAACTGTTCACAGTCCCAATACTTAGTGATGACAGAGTGTTTCCAAAAGTGCTCAGTCACAATTTTCAGAAGACTAACATGAAATTTTTTGATTTATTTAAATATATAAACCTGTTGAAAGCAATAATTAAAATTTTTGTCTTTGTAGAATCACAGTACAAAGTATGGCCTGGAGGATTTTCATCTCAAGGTGCAAGAACATTCTTAATGACTGTACACGGCGGCTGCTGATGGACGATGTTGGGCCAGATGTGCTACAGTTAGCGTTAAGGAGGTATGATGAAAGCATGATGGAAAACATTTAACATTTTAACTTGCATAAAATGTTTAAGGGGAATATGGCCTGAAAATATAACATGAATTAAGAAGTAATTTTTTGATGTCTTTGAGGTTGGAGACAATGCAGAGAAGCCTTCGGTGGGCAAGAGGAAGACTGATCAGTGTAACTGCAGCAGATCAACTTCTGCGTGACTTGGCTGAATTGATTCAGGAGGTCGAACTGTCTACTCAGCATGGCCAACAAGGTAAGCACATATTGTGTCGATTCCTTGACTGATCAAAAGTGTGAAATAAATTATGACTCTGTCTTAACCTATTTTCCAAATACACCAAACGCTTATATATTTTCAGGCTCTTTTGGATACCAGGCACCAGTGGTTTTCAACAGAGGTAGAGGCAGATCCCTTTACCTTATCACTCGGGAACAGCTTTCATTCCTGAAGTCATGTGGATTCACTGCACCTCAGATGGCTGATATTTTGAATGTTTCACTTCGTACAATTCGAAGACGTCTGCGGTCAGTGACTTTTGAAACCAGTGTGACTTTCAGTTCTTTTGTGACACACACCCACTGTTTATTCAAATTAAATGGTATTGTGAAATTGTAAAAATTAGTATATTTGAATGTGCACTAACTAGTCAAGTAATGATGTGTGTTGTTATGGCAGTGATAAAATACTCGTGTTCTTTTTGTCTGATTTCAGACAGTATCATTTCACCCGTGCATCAATGTATGCGGAACTGACTGACAGTGCGCTGGATGAACATGTGCAGGACATTGTCGCTGGCAATGAACAAATTGGTCCTGAGGCTGTCAGAGCCTCCCTGCGAGTACGTGGACTACGTGTACAGCGAAGGAGGGTTCGAGCAAGCATGCTACGGATAAATCCTGGAGCAGCTGCCATAAGAGCAGTTTTGCGGAGACCAGAACGAAGAACATATCAGGTTGCAGGTCCAAACTCATTGTGGCACATTGATGGAAATCACAAGCTGATAAGGTAACCAAGCACACTGATTTGTTGAACACCTATTTTGACCAAAGTGAAATTCAGCATTCCATCAAATATAATTGTGGAACAGTAAGACACATCCAATAGAGCCAGGCCCTGGGATGGGCAGTCCTCTAACACAACTGGTTATGTTTAAAGGGGAAAATGAGAGAACACAGACATCGCAAGCAACGTACAGACAAACTTGACATGCAATAGTGCCATGTAAATCAATTAAGAGTGTGTGTTTCCATTGTTTCAATAACAAAGCAGAAATATTTTTCTTCTTATGGACCACGGTTTTAGGTGGAGGATAGTCATTCATGGGGCTATTGATGGATACAGTCGTCTTGTGGTCTTCCTTCATGCCTCAAACAACAACCGTAGCAGTACTGTTTTATCAAGTTTCATCAGAGCCGTGGTATCCTATGGTGTACCCTCGAGGGTCCGGACAGACAGAGGAGGGGAAAACAATGCTGTCTGCCTGATGATGAACATTTTCAGAGGCTTTGATCGTGGAAGTGCCCTAAGAGGAAGGAGTACCCATAATCAGAGAATTGAGAGGCTCTGGGGTGATCTGTGGCGAGGAATGACCAATGTGTACTGTGATTTATTTCACCACCTGGAGGAGGAAGGCATCATTGACATTGACAATGAAATGCACATTTGGGCTCTCCATTACATCTATCTCCCAAGGATCAACAGAGATTTGAAAGACTTCACTCAACAGTGGAACAATCATGGCTTGCGGACAGAGAGACACTTGAGCCCATTACAGATTTTTGTCCGAGGCAGCCTCCAGCAACAGGGCCGAGCCTCAACTGCCATGCAGGACATCTTTCAGACCAGAGCAGCTGCTGCTGATGGGACTATTGGTGGGACAGCTGATGGTGGTGTGACAGCCACTGAGAGTGAGACGACTGCTGCTCAGGGCTCAGGTGCAGATTCTGGTGGTGGTGCTGCTGCTCATGGTACAGATGAGCTGGGATTGCTGGTCGACTGGCCTGAGAGGATTACTGTGCCAGACATTGAATTTACTCTGGACGGAATGGTGATGGAGCAAGTGGTAGAACTGTTTAATCCACTAAGTGGCACCAGAGGGAGTCATGGTATTGAGCTCATCACTGGCTTAATATACTTTCTGGACTCCACATATCACTGAGACAGTCCAATTAATGACTGAAACATAATAGCAGCAAGTGGAAAGACTTCAAAATATCTAGGTGACTGGATACATATAATGTGAAAAGTTATGATACGTGTTTACTATGTACCATTGAGTAGTGGTGTAAATGCTGTTAAAATGTTCTGTCTGGATTTCATGATGTAGATGACTGATTTATAATAAGTTACATAATATCATGAATATATATAGTTTGTGTTGAAATGACTTTATTTGAAATGTACATGTGTAAAGTGTAAGAGCTAGTGTCTCGTGAGAATACCCTTAACGAGAGTACACGAGACTTTGCATGGACTGCGAGGGAGCAGATGTCTCTCATGAAGCGATTTTAAGTTAAAAGTTTACTAAAAGAAAAAGCAACACAAGGACTTAAGGACCTCTTTTCAGGACAAGCAGCCAACGAGGTATTTGTCATTTGAGAAATGTTGTTATTTGTGTTTGGACTTAATATGTGTACTCTAAAGTTGCTAATTGATTTGTACTGTTCGCTTGTGACCAGTTCTCATGGTGTATCGGCGTACTGGTGATGGTGAAGCCGAGGAGAGAAGGCCCAAGTAATAAACGCCTGTTTCAAAGAACCGACCTGTGTCTGTGTTGTTGTGAATTCTGTCATGGAAATCAGTGCATTTCCTGTATCCTTTGGGGCAACAGACCTGAGTCACACTTTTAGAGAAGTACCTGGTGAGGTGGATTGAGAGGAATATCCATGATGCATGGCAGTTTGTTCACTCACTTCCTCTCCACCACAGCTTCCGAAGTGCAGCCAATCACAGAGCTTGCTCTCCTGATCCAAGAAGAACACATCAAAGTGCGCTGCACAAGCTTGCTCACAAAAAACAGCCTGCCCATACACTGCTTGTGTACAGCTTCTGTTTTGATCTTCCAGTTCAGCAAATGTATATATGTGGGTGTCCAGGTATTTGTGCTCCTCCACCACATCATATCAGTGGGTTCAGTATCTTATACTTTTGTCAAGATAATGCACACTGCAGCCGACAGTTATCAGAAAGAAGCCATTACCAAGTTACATGGATTATTTTTTTTATAACTTCATGTCATATAAACTAGTTATGTTATGTGCAACACTGTCATGTGCCACTCTGGTTTTATGTTTCAAATTCGTGTAAGACATCCAGAGTACTCTGATGACATTGACAAGGACATCTCCAGTTTACATGGGAAACTATTATTTCAGGTTCTTGAGATTACTTATTTACGTCACTTTTGAGAAAATGTACATACAGGTCTGATTCAAAACTGTATATCTATTTTTTTAATGCATGTTGAAAGGGCAAAAATATTCCTGAGATACTGTTAACATTATTAAATTTGAAGGCTATTATACAGTGGTATTACTTTAAACTGAGTAAAACGGTATTTTGATAAAAGTTAAGGTCTCCGTTTGTTTCAGAAAGAGCATACTGTCATTTACTTGCTTTTATTATTTATTTATATGCCCTCCGCGGACCATCTCTGCACTGCGTGGGTGATTAGTGGCTCCCTGCACAGTAAGGGCTGCACACAGGGACAAGACGCACTCGGTTACGATCGGATCTTCCCTGGGCAGGGGGAGGTGATGAACTGTATGCCACTTTTTCATTGGCATACATTAAGTACAATGTTTTATTGCCTACGGTGGGGCAGGTCACATACTGGGTGAAGGTGGGCAGTGTGGAGTCCAGCGAGACATGATTAAAGTCCCCTGATATTAGAAGAAGAGCTCTCGGAGATTGCGTTTGCAGTCTGCGGACCACAGAGAGTCACAGGCTGCCTCCACGGATGCTAACGGCTAATAGCGCAATGTCTGTGTTGCAGAGTTGTTCTTTCACAGCGATGTGCCCAGAGATACCACAGCCGTCTTTAACAAACACTGCCAGCCCCCCTCCTTTCCTCTCACCGCTGTCTCTCGTCTTGTCCGCCCGCAGCAGCTGGAAGCCGGGCAGCCTACTCACAGAGGGAGTACCGGGCAGTGCCGGGATACTGCCACTGTGACCGGGTTAGCGTCATTAGCTCCTCAATCATATCAGGGAGCGATCTCACATTTAAAGTGATTACAGGAAGGAGAGATGGTGTGTGAGGTGTCCTCGGGAGACATCACCCCCGTTTCTTCCCTCACTGGGGATGTAGGGTCTGTCTGCCGGTAGCGCAGCTGCAGGGCGCAGCGCTAACAGCTGATCCCTAATGTAAACAAAGGAGCCATGCGCCGAGTGTCCAAACACGGGTGAAAAAAGTGGAGACAAAAGAAGAGAAAAGTCAACATAACTAGCACGAAGCGGTAATGCAAGATGGCAGGATCTGATTGCTAAGACATAAGTTTAAGAGAAGTAAAGAGGAAAATAAGAAAGAAGCTCAGAAATGAGCAGAGCTAGCTCTGCTCATTACCTGTTAGCTGCCATAACAGGTAGCTAACATTACCTGTTAGCTGCCATAACACAGTTAAGGTTTCAGAAAAAGTATTCTGTCGTTTGTTTGCTCGATCATGCCTTAAACACATCAAAATGCATAGTGGGATTATAATACAAGTGAATACTGTGACAAGCACTGGTACTGAATAGGCAATCACTTAGCAGCAAGGTGAATCGGTGATGCATTAGTGTGGTCTGCACTTCCTCTTCTTTGATTGGGTGAAATGAGTTGAAAGTAATTGGATGAGGGAACCATGGGGAGTGCCCTGCATAATTTCAATAAAACGCCGTTTTAAACGCCGTTACAGCTGGCAGAGAACGCCGTAAAAAACGCCGTTCAAAGATGCATAAAAACGGCGTTTTGTGCCGAGTAGCGTAAAAAACGGCGTTTCCGTCTGTCTTTGAACGCCGCTTTTTACGTCACTCGGATGGTGCGTTCAGGGCGCCATCCGAGTGGCGGAAAAAGCGGCGTTTGTCGGAACAGAACGCCGTTTTTTTCGGCGTTTTGAATAATTAAACGGCGTTTTTTACGCCATTTCTTAACCAAACGGGTTAGGAAAGTGGCGAATTTTGGCTCTAATGGCTTGCCATACTGGACCGCTAAAAATGCGCGTGCTCTTTGTGAGCTCGTTCCCGGCTCGTAACCAGCGCGTTCTGCCGTCAAGGGCGATCATTGGTTAAATGTGATCATGTGACTGATGCAAGCCAGATCCTTTTATTTAGCAAAACTGTGATTAATAGTTAAATATTATTGTTGAGGGGCACAGACAGGACTCCGCACGCACACACACATAAAAAAAAAAAAAAATTAAAAAGTTTTTTTTTTTTTTTAAAAAGTTGCTTCAACAAAAGGGCACACATCAGGAAAGGGGCGGGTGCTCAAGCCCCTCCAGCCCCCCCCTGCATGCATGCATGCATGCATGCAAAAAATAAAAAAAGGGGTTAAAATACTAAAAGAACCAATCTCTGTGGTGCCTACTGACACAGAAAAATAAAACAAACAAAATCGACAGCCGCAGCAGTCACAGTCTGTCGGCTTACACCAGTATAAAACAAATTAAAACACTCTGATGTGTCGGGTCCTTTGCCCGCAGCCAGAAATCCACTTGGCAAAGCAGCACTCGGTACTCTGCAAATAAAAGGCAGGAGATGACTCACGCAGGACAGTAAAACACAGGAATATTCCTCAGCTGTAGGCCTATTGTTTTTGTTATCTGTCCACAAGTTCACGTCACACCCTAATAAATGTGGGTCAGTGGCGGTGAAGTCTACTACACTGTTCTCACGGGAACGCAATGTTTCCCACCTACAAGGGTGCAAATAACTGTAAACCTCGGCCACAACAACCAGAGCTTAAGTGGTACATTGTTGTGCAACGTACCGTTCTGACAGAAGTTTAGGGGGACCCGCATCAAGCTTTCATGGAAAGAAATTAAAAACACCAACTTGGACCAAGCACTGGCAGCTTCAGGTTTGCTGGGGAATACCTAATTGCCCACACCTGAGCTTATGAAAGGAGCAAAGACCAGCTCCGCCCACCAGGGGCAGTTCCCAGACTCAGGTCTCACCTGTCACATATAGCAGAGATATTCTGAATTTACACCGATAATGCTTAGTTTTATTTACTGATTTTCACTTTTGTACCTGTTTAGTATAAAGTTAGGATAAACAGTATAATGGAAATCAGCCAGGTTAGCTTGTTAAATTTTAGGTTACATTCTGTTAAATTCAGTTTTAGAAATCCACAAAGAGCAGGAAACTTCCGAGGAGTAGCAGCACATGTCAGCTGATTACAGCCTGTACACAGAAAATCGTCTGGAGCTCTCAACAGAAGTTATTGTGAGTATCTGATACACACATCCTTTAAAGACCTAATTTTAAAGTAAAGAATGTCTGTACGTTTGCCACATATACCACACACCATTGCCTTAATGAGCTTTATTAGTGAATTACGTAGCTAGTCCTGTAGTTAATCTTAAAGCTGAATCATGATAGTTAATCCGATAGCTAAGAGGAAAGGGATCGATAAGGAGTGGGATCACCCTTTAAAATGTCAGAAAAACAAACAAACATCTGTATTCCATATTAGAGTTTTTTAGTTGAAATATAATCCCTCCAGAAAGGCAGGAAAAGCCCGGAAACTTACTTTAAAACTAAATATGTTCTAATACTTAAAACTAAATATGTTCCCTAAAACGGTGACAGAGCTACAGACCCATGACAGCCTTACACAGGTAGCCAGCAGCTTGACCAGCACTACTTGTGCAGTTAATAAAAGGACAGGTAATGTTTGTCGCGCTGTTGCACACACAGCACGCTCGTTTGTTTCAGTTCGTCAGTTGCAACAAGACAGCTTACCAACGTGTACGTAATAAGCTATACTCCTGTGTGCTAACACTACAGTGTACGCTGTACACCTACTTACTGGTTTTGTCGCATCAGTCTGTGTCTCTGAGTTAACTTGTGTTTCTCCTACAGCTCCGGACCGCTAAAAATGCGCGTGCTCTTTGTGAGCTCGTTCCCGGCTCGTAACCAGCGCGTTCTGCCGTCAAGGGCGATCATTGGTTAAATGTGATCATGTGACTGATGCAAGCCAGATCCTTTTATTTAGCAAAACTGTGATTAATAGTTAAATATTATTGTTGAGGGGCACAGACAGGACTCCGCACGCACACACACATTAAAAAATAAATAAATAAATAAAAAAAATTAAAAGTTGCCTCAACAAAAGGGCACTTTGGGCACTCATCAGGAAAGGGGCGGGTGCTCAAGCCCCTCTAGCCCCCCCCCTCCCCCCCCCCCCCCCCCCCCCCCCTTCTGCACGTGCCAAAAAATAGTAATGTCAAATGATGTCAAAGTATTTTACTGTGTAGTTTACAGATGTGTACTGTTTTTCTAGAATATCATTACATTTACATAAGTAATCTGACACGTCAAATGTAAAATAACATAACATCACTGTAAATGTAATAAAACACAATTTACTTGTTTGTTAAATATATTTTGTTGTACATATGCATATTTAGATTGTAAAAATACATCCAGGAATGTCTCCCATCATGCCTTGGGACATGTGCTGCTGTTTAGATGTTCTTGTTCTATTGTTTATGGTTACGTTACTTTTAACTGTTATCTTGAATGTTGTGTTTACGCCGTGGTGCAGCGTCACTGACAGTTGTTGTTTTGTAGAGAGAGTGCTGTACCATGAGTGACTTCTGTTGTGCTGTTGTTGAACATTGAAGCACATTGTAGCACGGCAAGTGTTTTAATAAAGCGCTCCACCTATCAGCTTGGGGTTAAATAACAAGCTCAATCTCTCTCTGTGAGCTTCTTTGTTAAGATTTCTCTGCATGCCACAATGTAAAACATTACACGGACACGCTGTGCTAATTATATATTTTGAAAAAGAAATGTAGAGGTAGGAATTGCAATTAATGTAAATAACATGACGCTAAGCATCGGCCAATGAATGTGAACTAACAACAAGGTCGCGGGTAACGCTGCGACCGTAGGAAAAAACCCTAATATGAAGGTATTTTACTGTGCATTTTACAGTAATGTTCTGTTCTTCTAGAATATCATT